ATTATTTTATGATAAATTGTTATTCTTGCCTTATTTTCTTAAGAGACAATTTTATGTATAGGAGTGTGTTTTGCATGTTTTAAATTGTAAATGGAGCAAAATCCACAGAATATTGATCTTGAAGCAGCGTTCAACAAACTTAATTGTTTAATCCCTGCCACCCTCCAAGTTAAACTGACAAGTATACTTTAGCTGGTTTTCCACAAGTACTCAGTCATCGAATTTCCACCTGTCAGATGGGATGGTGTTAGATTTAACCACATATTCGTGGGACCAGTCTAAGGTCAGATTTTCTTATAAGTATCTGACAAGATATTCAGTCAGATACTTTATATTAATATAAAGTCTTTAATATTTTTATGGAAACTTAATTTTGGCCTCTTACTAATGTGTGAGATGGGGTTTTTTCCTCATACAGAATACTGGATAGTCAAAAATGTTACATTGAGCTGTTAAATTAATGGTTTTTAGGTGAGTTGCACTGTCTTAATTCGGTACTTGTAAATAGTACTAGATAGGCTCTTTACTTATAATACTCCAAGAGTTAAGGAAGCAGAGATTTGGAAAGAATTTTTTTTTTTAATCAGTTAATTTACCATGTATAATTGCTGTAAATGATAATGTGTACAGATTTTTCAGTTCAGATATTCAATTGTAAACTTCTTGTTAAGACTTATGTTTCTATTGCTTTTGTATGGAATGATATTGCGAAAATAAAAATAAAAGAACCTTCTTTAACTGGTACATGACATTGCCAGATAGGTTCGCTGTCCACTGTGTCTGGAGGGCCAAATCAGCACCTGTCTTCCTCATGTCTAAAGCACACTCCTGTGACACTCTAGTGCAACACACAGTGGTGAGAGAACACCGTGACCAGTGCCCATGAGTGGTTGCTGAGTGCCAGGGACTGCTCTGGGCCCTGTGTGTTCTGCCTGGGCAAGGGGACCTTGTTGATAAGTGAGGAGCTGACATGGGGTCCTGATCATGACCGTCCAGAGTCTGCCACATCCAGTGTGTGCCTGGCAGACCAAACCGAGAAAGCCAGAGAGCTAAACCTGATGCCCATTCATCAGCAACTGGTGACAGTGTCCTTTTCTGTCTAAAAGAAGCCTTGAGCTTTGAAGAGACTGCAAGTGAGGGCTGGTGCAAAGGTAAGGAGGACAGGAATTTGGAGTACCGTGGGTCCTTGTTACGTAGCAAGTTCCGTGACCGCTACCTCCATGATGGTGGAAATAGAGGAGTCTAATGAATTGGATGCTCTAGCTAAGACTATTATTTTTTAAAAATTTGCTGGAGGTGTGTGCACTTGCCAGAGAAAGAGTCCCCCACAGGATATGATCACACTTTAATGCCTTCTCCATCCCATCGGGATTTGGGCGTTAAAGTGGGCACACACACAAATGGCACCTAGCGTGTTTTTCAAGCCACTGGGTCTGAGACTTGAACTGCGTAGTCAGCCATGTGAGATCTGGACATTGGGGCGTAGACTGGCCCAAAAGTTGAGAACTTTTCTATAGAATAATAGGGTCTATAAATTTAAGTGGGCAGCCAGCAGATGGCATAGTGGTTAAGGTGCTGGACTCCCACATGTCTGTCTGACTGTGATTCGGTCCTGGACTTGGTGACTTGAAACTTATTGCCAGGTGTATGTACATGAATGCCCAAAATCCCAAGGGGAGAACACAGAGAAGGGATCGTGGTATAGCCATCCACACTGATGGGAAGGAGGGGTTTCATTTCTCACTTTCCATCTATGGCTAGCACATGCCCTATAGCAAAAAGCTCTCAAAAAAAAAAAAGTTATAAGCAGGGATCCAGTGGTTGTGGAGATTAAGGTGGCTGGCTCTCACTTGGCCGACAGCTTGGTTCGCGTCCCAGACCCAGCGGTTTGAAGATCATGCAGACCAGTGGCTCCTGGGAGTGTCTAGAACAGGCATCCTAGATCTGTCCCTAGCACATGTTGTCTGGGGGGTGGAGGGCAGAGACAAGGCAGCTGCTCTAGTTCACTGGTCTTCATATCTGAGGAGCCTTGATCCACACTGGAGGTGACTCTGGAATTCTGGAATTGGAACTAGACTTGGAACTAGAACTGTTGATGTGGTAGGATGAAGCTCCAAGCTTTCACAGGACATTAGCATATCTTGTATTTGGGGGGAAGGTAATGATTTGTGGCCAGAAGGTGGACTGTGGTGAACTTAAATGAGGACAAGGAGGATGACTGGAGCAGGGCGAGTGATAGATGAGGGTGTGGTAGAGGGGAGGGCTCTGTGAGCTGGGCAGCCAGGGTGGTCTCAAGCAAGGGGCATTAACTGAGAGTCTGGTTTTGGAAGAATCACTCCGACCTGGCTGCAAGCTTTGCTTCACATTGAAATTCCTGGAGTGCACTTAAACACCAAGGAAATCAATCTTCAGACTTCAGTTCTTGCCTCTTAGTGCTGTTAACACAATCTAGTATTTTCTGTATGAGTGTTACAAATAACCAGTAGGCTAGGATTGAGTTGTCTTTATTCTTGACTCTTGTACATCGAACCAAGAAGTGTCAGAACTAAATTAAGTTTGTCCAGCATGATTAATTCTTCACAATCCCAGGCTGATTGCTATCTTGTCCCCATCGGTGAGTCATTTTCCTGTCTTTCCATGTATAGACGGGGTCAGCTTATCAGGGTTGTCATCCTACATCCCCCCACGTCCTTCTCCGTGTATTGTGGAGCCGTTTTTGTTTCTTGCTGGTCTATCAGGATCCTGTCCTTCACATGCTCTTTTTCAGCAATTGTGCCTCTGAGCTGCTGACTCCTCTGTCTCTCTGGTACAAAGATGTCGATTAAGTCTCTCAGGTGAGTCAACAGCCCCTGCTTAAACTAAAGACAACTGGACTTTCTGGAGCCTGGTGGAGATCTCTTGATAAACCGATGACTTTCCAGGGTCTTTTTTCCCCATGTAGGCACATGTAAAAGATCTGCCAGGTAAAGTTGTGGCACAGTGCTTGGCGAACTGAAAGTACTTTGCAAACTAGTACGTTAGTTACTGGTCTTGGAGCTGCGCTGATGCAGGATGGGCGGGAGATGGGAAGGAGGAAGTGTGCCTATTTGATGAGTCTGCATATATTATGTTTAAGAGGTTTATTTTTGCTTTTGCTTTTTGCTTTGTCATTATTGTTTTGTTTGCATTTTGATGTGCAGACTTGAATTGCACCTAAACCACTTTGTAAGAATCCCACTTCAGGGACCAGTAGATGGCGTAATGGTTATGTCGCTGGACTCCCATGTAGTCAATCATGGTTCTTGTCCTGGACCTGGTGGCTTAAAACTCATGCCATGTAGTTGATCATGGTTTGGGTTCGAGTCCTGGATCTGGC